TCGGGTCCGTCCATTAATTTCTTTAGAGACAGTTGGAAAAGAGACTTTTCATAGAATCATAGAATGCATTGGGCTGGAAGGGACCTTTAAAGGCCATCAAGTCCAAGCCCCCCACAGGGACATCTTTAGCTCGATCAGTTTGCTCAGAGCCCCATCAAGCCTGATCTTGAATGTCTCCAGGGAGGGGACTTCCACCATCTGTCTGGGCAAACTTACAGTGGTTTACCACGCTTATGATAAAGAACTTCTTCCTAATATCCAATCCAAATCTACCCATTTCTACTTTAAAACCATTGCCCCTCATCCTATCGCTACGTGCCCTTGTAAACAGTCCCTCCCCAGCTTCCCTGTAGGCACCCCTCAGGTACTGGAAGGCCGCTGTAAGGTCTCCCTGGAGCCTCCTCTCCTCCCAGCTCTCTCAGCCTGTCCTCACAAGGGAGGTGCTACAGCCCCCTGAGCATCTTCGTGGCCTCCTCTAGACCTGCTCCAACAGGTCCACGTCCTCCTTGTATTGAGGGCTCCAGAGCTGGATGCAGCACGCCAGGTGGGGTCTCACCAGAGCAGAGCAGAGAGGCAGAATCACCCTCTTGATCTGCTGGCCACGCTGCTCTTGATACAGCCCAGGATGCCATTGCCCTTCTGGGCTGCAAATGCACATTGTTGGCTCATGCCCAGCTTTTCATCCACCAGCACCCTCAAGTCCTTCTCCGCAGGACTGCTCTCTATCACATCATCCCCCAACTTGTATTGGTTGTGAGGATTCCCCCAGCCCAGGTGCAGGATCTCGCATGCGGCCTTGTTGAACCCCATGAGATTCACACAGGCCCACCTCTCCAGCTTGTCCAGGTCCCTTTGGCATGCCGACTGCACCACTCAGCTTGGTGTCATCTGCAAACTTGCTGCAGGTGCACTGGATCCCACTGTCTATAACATTGATGAAGATATTAAATAGCACTGGTCCCAGCACAGACACCTGAGGGACATCACTTGTCACCTGTCTCCATCTGGACATCGAGCCATTGACCACTACCCTCTGGATGCGATCATCCAGCCAATTCCTTATCCACCAAACAGTCCACGCATCGAACCCGTATCGGATCTCCAACCTAAGAGAGAAGGATGTTGTGGGGGACCGTGTCAAAGGCCTTGCAGAAGTTCAGATAGAGAACATCCATAGCTCTTCCCTTGTCCACTGATGTAGTCACTCCATCATAGAAGGCCACAAGGTTGGTCAGGCAGGACTTGCCCCTGGTGAAGCCATGCTGGCTGTCCTGAATCACCTCCCTGTCCACCATGTTCTAGGAGGATCTGCTCCATGATCTTCCCAGGCACAGAGGTGAGGCTGACAGGTCGGTAGTTCCCAGGGTCCTCCTTTCTACCCTTTTTAAAAACAGGCGTACCGTTTCCCTTCTTCCAGTCACCTGGGACTTCACCTGACTGCCATGGCTCTTCAAATATCATGGCGAGTGGCTTGGCATTCTCTCAAGACTCTGCAATGCATCTCATCAGGTTGCACAGACATATGTAAGTTCAGGTTCCTTAGGTGGTCACAAACCTTGTCTTCACTCACAGTGGGAAGGACTCTGTTGCCCTGGTCCCCATCTTGTGGTCCTTCAACTCTGGAGGTGCGAGGAGAAAGGTTGCCAGTAAAGACAGAGGCAAAAAAGTTGTTGAGAACCTCAGCCTTCTCGTTGTCTGTTGTTACCATCTTGCCAGACTTGCTCATCAGGGGGAGGTACGCTCTCTTTGACCTTCCTTTTTCTGATTGACACACCTGTAAAAGCCCTTCTTGTTATTCTTCACATCTCTAGCCAAGTTCAGCTCCAGTCACGCCTTGGCCTTCCTGACCGCATCCCTACATGACTGGGCAGCGTCCCTATACACTTCCCACGACACCTGTCCCTGCTTAAACTGTCTGTGCAGCTTCTTCTTGCCTTTTAGTTTGACCAGCAGGTCTTGACTCAGCCATGCCGGTCTCTTGCCTTGCTTTCCTGGTTTCCTACACCTGGGAACTGAGAGCTCTTGTTCTGTATGGAAAGCATCCTTGAAGATCCGCCAGCTCTGTTCTGCACCCTTGTCCCTGAGGACCATTTCCCAGGGGGTCCTATTGACTAACTCCTTGAAGAGCTGGAAGTTTGCTTTCCTGAAATTCAGGGTCCTGACTATGTCCCTCCTCTGACCTCTATCCCTCAGGACTGTGAACTGCACCAGTGCATGGTTGCTACAGCCCAGGCTGCCTCCAATCTTGACACCCCTGACGAGCTCGCTTTTCTCAGAAGACAGTTAGGATAGGTGAGTGATGTCCATTGCAAGAGTATCACTCTGCACCACCAAATGCAAGACACAAGGCTGCTTCCATCCTTTCTGATTGCCATCCCATCATATTGGATCTGGCTGGGATGGAGTTAACTTTCTTCACAGCAGCTCACGTAAGTGGTGCTGTGTTTTGGATTTGTAAGGGAGACAGTGCTGATAACACACCGTGTTCCGGCTACAGCTGAACAGTGCTTGCACCACATCAAGGCTTCCTCTTTTTCTCCCTCTGCAACCCTCCCAGCAAGTTGGCTGGGGATGGACAAGAAGCTGTGAATGCACAGAGCCAGGGGTTGCCCCAAACTGATCAAAGGGATATTCCATATCGTACGATGTCACACTCAGCATGGAAAGAGGATGCAGGGATGTTTATGGTTACAGCACTTGTCTTCCCAAGTAATCATTATGCACAGCCAGGAAGTGGCTAAACATCTGCCTGCTGATAGGACATGGCAATTAAATTCTTTATTTTGCTTTGCCTGCAGGCAGCTTTTGCGTAACCTGTTAAACTGTATTTTAATCCACAAGTCTTGCCCGTCTTCTTTTTTCTCCCCATCCTGCAGGAGGGAGGAGTGAGCGAGCTGGCCAGAGTCAACCCATCACGCCCACATATGTGCATGGACTATTCCCACTTTTCACACAAAGTGATTGCCTCCTCATGACTGCTTACATTTGACAGGCAGGCTTGGCCAAACTTACACTTCCTCCACACTTTCTGGAACAAGCACAGATGAGACTGCAGACATCTTCCTCGCTGGTATCATTGGTTGCTCAAAAAAAATCATCTCCCATAGTCTCTCTGCTTTGCACATTTACAAATAAAGGCCACACAACATCTGTGCACACCTGCTCTGTAAGCAACTCAGCCTCCCTGTCAGGCTACAGGTCACTGGTCCAACCAAGACAGTCCCTTCCTCAGGCACTCGGCTGTCCTGCATGTGCTCCTAGCTCTGGGATACTTGGGCTGCATGGTAATGTACGTCACGAAGCCCAATTCATTCCCATCATTCTCTCTGCTGTGCATCAGCCCTTCGTTAGGTGTCTGTTTCCCTGTGATAAACTATGGGACTTCTGCCCCAAAGCACTCACTCCATACACAGTGAACCCACGGGTGCCCATAACGTCACCCTTACTTGCTTGCTCTATCACAGACACTTGTCTCCTATACAGTAATCTCAACCACTAAAGAGTTTCGTTCCGTTATACACCTTCCTTCTTCACCCACCACTGCGTGTTTGGTCTATCACCTTCCTCTACACTTGGTCTACCTCAGGCTCTTCAGAGCAGGGACCATCTTCTTCCCTTGTAAAAGGCTGTCCTGCCTCTCTGATCCACTGGAGTTTTCCACACCATCAAGATGCACATTAATAAAGAACACAGGGCTGATATAGTCCACCAGGCCCTCCAAAACAACATCCTTCACCAAAACCTCTACACACACGAGGCATCGGTGTGATAATAGAGAAAAACCTTGCAGAGAATTTGATTAAAATACAGAAAATAAGAATAGTAGTGAATAAGTCTCCTGTGCACAGGATTCAGCAGTTCTGTGTTCTGGAGTTCTACAGGGATCAGTGAAGCTGAATATAACCATAAATGGACAAGAAAAAAAACAACAACCAATTCTGCTGGCAAAATAGTCAATTCATGGCTGGAGCAACAAAGGCCAAAGAACTGAAGAAGGGCCTTACAAGACTCAATGACATGGACAACAGAGGGTAGTGAAAAGCATCCATACAACACATGACAGAATACGCTGGGAAAACACGCTACAAAGAGTGCACATTCTGTCCTACAAATCAAAACTAAGGCAGCACCAAACAAAGGCAGCAAAGACAAGTTCAAATAACAACTGAGCAAATAAATGGAAAAGATACTCATCAAGAATTACTAAAGATATCACCCCGGATAAAGAAATATGCCCTTTTTGCTTCAACAAGTTATTATTCAACACAATTCTGGGTTTGTTTGGGTTTTTTTTAAAAAAAATCACCTCCCCCCCCCCCAAAATAACCCCACAACCAAGGTTCAACATTACACAGCTGGCAAAGGCCTTATAAAGGCTTACAGTAATAATGGTAAGAGACATGTACCCAGGTAACTGTCAGCAGACATTTCAACTGGTTCCATTTTCACATCTGTAAGAGGTTTTGTATAAATACCTGCATCATTACTGCCTAAAGTTTACTTCCCAGACCACTTAAAGAGCATTTATTAAACACTGACCTTTTATGACAACTGACAGTTCACAGAAATTCATGAAAGTTGTAATGCACATTAGGAAAACAAAAAAGTACCTACAATTGGGGTTTGCAATCTACGCTCAGTTTCTAAGGGACAGGCCATGGAATTCCAAAGTGGGTAAGTTTATTTGCTAAGGACTAGTGGGTAAGTATTTGCTAGGACTAATACAGGAACCCCTCAATTCAAAATATAGAGGATACACTAATAAAAATGCCTATCTGCATTCTTTGATAAATGCAACGTCCCAGAAGCAGAATTTGATGGTCCAAGTTTTATTTCTGGTGTTTCACAAAAAACCTAAACTTTTCTAAATACACACATACTGTAAATCTCATTAAGATCTTCCATCTACCAGAAACACTGATGTTCGTTTGAACAAAGAACTTCTTCTTGAAGTCACTGAAATAAAGATGAATGTGGTCCAGATCACCAGCTTCAGTATTTCAGCTCTGCTGCATTCTTCTACGCATCTCTTCAAGCGCCGCTTCTCGTTCTCTTAAGAGCTGTTTAAGTCTTTTTATTTTTTCATCCCGTATTGTTTCATCCAAGTCTGGGGGAGTCAAAGGGAAAGCATCATCTCTGAAAGAACCTTCAAGAACTGAAGTGTCATCTTCACAAGACACCAAAACTGGAATACTTGAGTCTGTTACGTCACTGTATTGAGAGTACGAGTCTTGCTCAGGGTCCCTCCCTAGAGGTGATACAACCAAGTCTGTGGAAACACTTTGCTGCGCTAAGACTGGGGGAGGTGAAACACTTCTGTTAAGTACACTGGAACTCGAGCTGGTGTTTTCTGAACTTCGGCTTGTGGCTGATTTGGCTGAAGATTTTCTCCTCTTTCTGCTGTCTGACAGTGGTGAGGATTTCACTTTTCTTTTCTTAGTCAAATCCTCTTCCAGACTCACAATTATCTGTACAGTCAAGAAACACACAAAATACACTTCTGTTAAATTGAGCATCATCCACACATGAACTACATCACAGTTCACTAAGCACAAATTACAAGTTATTTGTTGCAAGCTTCTTTGAATTACTACATGGAAGACATTTCTTTTAGCAATTTGAGCACACATACTTTTGTGTTCAATATTTTTCTAGCAAATAAACAACAAAGTTAATGACTCCAGAACACTGAATTCCCTCCTCAGTCAACAGTGCACTTCTGCCTTTCCTCTGCAGACCTATCATCTCCTGTGGCTGCTGAAGTTCTTTAACCGTAGCGTAACTTTCTAACTTCGTGGGAAAATTCAAAATGTAGAACTCTTCACGCTTACATTTCCAAAAAGCTCAAACATTAGCAATAATGTCCATTACAAGACTGCATTCCTCCCTGCTGTCTTGTTATTTCAGTTCATGTACTTTACTAAGAGCATCCAGTAGATCTGCTCAAAGCAGGGCCTCTAACACAGAATTATTAAAACCTGAGAAAGCCTCTGACTGGGTGGAGTAGAATCATACAAAAGAAAATTTAGAACACTATGGCTGAACAGTACTACTTTGGGCAGATAAAATTATTTTAACGCATTAAGATGGAAGTCCTTACATCAAGGGAAGCTTTCCGGAAACACCCAAGCAAGCTCCTAGCCAACGACAAAGGACAGGGTTAATAGACACTTGTAACTCCAAAGATTAGACAGGCACACAGGCAAATTTCTTCTAATAAAACCACACGTGACTAAGCAGAGACCTTTCTTTGGAAGTCAGCTCCACCTAGTCATATGAGTGACTGAAGTGCTCTGAAATAGCGGCACTTGACTGATTTCAAACTCAAGGGTAAAGTCTCACAAGTAATTACTCTTCTATTACCCTGCTTATATCCCTTGCACTACTGAAAAAACATAATTGTTTGCACAAGACTAAATATAAATCAGGATACAGAGGTACAGTTTCTATTCCAATACAGACTATCTCTTTGACTGTTCAGTCACCACTAGAGGGTCCAGTCTTCTTCAAAGCATTTGGTCTTCAAATGTCCTCCAGCAGACCCAAGAAAAGAGGATAAAAGTTCCTAGATGGTACTCAAGCCGTTCTGAAATCGCACAACTCCGTAACACAAACAAGTTCTAGGAACAATTCCCACAGGGACCACACCAATTACTGACTTGCCCTGATGAATCCAGAGGTGGGAGGGTCCCAAGAAACGCACAACTCTGTATTGACTATACATACTCTGCTTTCTGACTGTGTTGCAGTACACACTTGAGCACTAAAAAATTTCAAGATACCTTTTCCTCTTTAACACATTCCTGATGTTGACTTCCTATTTCCACATCTAATGATGATGCACTGCAAGAATCATTTTTCATTTTCAAGGAACAAACCCTTTCTTCTGGTTTCTCACAGGAGGTCCTTAATGGTATTCTCCTAAGGTACACTCTCTCCTCCTTAGAGAGACCAAATTTTTTCCTTAATTCCAAGTATTGTTTCCAATGTGGCTTCTCTTGGTGTTTGATTTGAACAACCTTTCCCGGTGACTCCATCTTTTCACACTGGATCTGAAATACAGAAACAGTGAGAGCGTCATCAATCACACACACTCTCTCTCTCCCTCTCCATACATATAAACCAAAACCTAGTTACTAGAAAGACAGGTGAACGTTAGTTTTGTCTGCCATTCTCCAGGAGTTTCATTTAACACAGGTAAGCCAATTTTGAGACATTTTATATGTATTATCATAGGTCTAACACTCTTGTTAGTTATTTAAAACCTCAAGTACTTTGTGGAACACCCAGAAAATGCACAGTCCAACTAGTAAACCACAAAAGTAAAGGAAGCAACAAGGGAATCGCTTGTTCTAAAACTTCAAAGTAATGAAGGAAGATGCCAGAAGATCAGACAGCGTCCTTACACTTTCAGACGGCCGAATGCATTTCACATTTCCATCGTGGCAAATAACACTAACAAAGCACTATTAGCTATCTCTCATATTTAACCTTGTAGCCCGAGCTGTTTCTGATCTTCAAGTTCAATCTCACATCAGTTCATCTGGCAACCCATGGGCTTGCAAATTTACAGACTAAAAGCAGCAAACATTTATTTGCTATTTTTCATAGAGCTTAAAGCAAATAAGAAAGCTAACACTTGGCATCAAACAGCACCAAAGGAAAAAAAAAATCAGTCTATTTCAACCATTTTTTCAGGTGAGGAACAATCAAAAAAGAAGCCCTATACCCTGTTGCAATGATTAAATGTCTAAAATTCACCCAGATATGCTTAGCTGCCATTTCTCTTCTGCCTGGTCAACACAAGCAAGTATAAATTAGCTTCAGAATTACTCTTTTATCTGGAAGCAAATTCATTTTGGACTCTTGAGCAACTGAAAACTTGTCCTACAATCCCACACGGGCAGAGTTTGCAGGATTTGAGGCTAAGTACTTTTTACATATTTTTGATGCTATGATCTTAAAAGAACATGTAGGGGGAAAGTGATTAAAGATATCAAGTGTTTCTTCCGCCTGATGTGAAACCATGAGTCAAAGGAGGTGGATCCCTCTCCATCATGCCATGAAAGGAAGGCAACACAGCTCCTGCCCTTGGGTCTCTGAGCTAGCAGAGGCTGGAGATGACTTACAGCAACAACACAGTTTGTTTCTGGATGACAAACCCAGCTCTTCCTCCTCGTTTTCCTCTTGTGTAGCTGCAAACTTCTCTACCTTACATCACACCTACAACACAGTCAATGGCTGTGCTGTGAGAATGCGGCATCAACAACGTTAGAAAGCAGACAGCTCCCAGAGCTCAATGAACAACTGTCCTATGGTTTCAGTTGTTACCAACAACTTATCTTCTGAGGAAATAAAGTCATCTTTTCCCTGTCCCTTTCTTTTCTTTATGCATTTTCTCACTTGCATTGAGCAATCTTACTGGAGGAAAAAGAAAATTAAAAAAAAATGTATTGAACAGAACCACACTTTAGACCAACGTTTCCAGATACCTGGTTACAAAAGCCTGTGAACTTATTGAAAGCCACTTCATTCAAACAGAACCAGGACCACGTAACAATTTAGCAGAGACTGAGATGGGCATGTTTATTGGAGAGAGTTACCTTTTGCCAGTCTTCACTGAAAGCACACTCTTGCTTAGACTGAGGTAAAACAGCACTTGCTGCTTTGGGGGAATGAATCTTTTCTTTGCCGTTTTGGCACACATTTTCCTGTGTCCCTACTGCTGTAACAGGGGTCACTCCACTTGAAATGCTCTCGGTGAAGGGCAAGCTCTTTGTCTGGTTTACAGTGGAATTCTGCTGATTAGTATTTGGTGTCACCAGAGCTGCAGGTGCAGATTTTAAGTCATTTCTTAAGGCAGCTGGCGAAGAATTTTTTGAGTTTGTACATCTTTTGGGATCCTTCTGAGACAGCACCATTCCTTTGTTTTTTGACAATACCAGATTCACTACTTTATTGGTTATTTTATTGACTGCAGTAGAATCAATTAGCTTGGGTGTCTCCTTTTTAAGTGAAGCATCAGAAGAGGAAGATGCTGGTTTGTCAGCTTGGGCTGACAGAACATCAGAGCCTCTTTTGGTCAACAAATAGACTTTCCCATTGTACATGACTAGAGCATTATCTTTAATAGGTGTGATTTTTGTTTGGCTTCCCCCAGGACCACTAGAAGATAGTGGTAAAATATTTGCAGAGTTAACTTCTACATTCCTCGTGTCTGACAAAGTTTTCAAGATCTTGGAAGCCATATTATTGGATGACTTTACAGGAATGAGGCAAGGCACTGATGACTGTGGACTTTCTTGCACAATCCATTTCATTGGAGTTTGCGGGTGCTGCTGACCATCAGATGTTACTGTCTCAGGAGAAGAATTATTTCCCTTTTGTGTAGCTGTCATTGCTAATGGTTTTGAAGCTTCTGCAGCAGGTTTTGGGCAAATGGCTTGCAAACGCTTGGGAAGTACTGTTTTCACCGTGTTCACTGGTGACACATAAATAACACTTGGCATTTTTGTTTTGTCAGCTCCTCCAGACACGTTTGTTGCTGCAGCTGCAAGTATTTTTTGCTGTATTGCAGGTGGCAAAAAAGAAGCTGGGACAGATTTCACTTCTGCATCAGCTGGTATCTGGAGGTGGTGGCCAGAGGGCAGTACTGGAGACTTCACAGTAACTGGAAGAGTTTTTGTGTTTAACAACATGTATGCAGCGTTACTCTGGTTAGATGAACTTGTTACAGCAACGTTCTGCAAAGACAGTCTATCAACTGAAACACAACTGCTTCCAGATGATTTTGGAATTAAGCTTTCTTTTTCAGAACCTGCCCTAACACTTTCCTGTTTGTCTAATGTCCTTGTAAAAATAATCTTTCCAGGACTGGGAGACTGAAAAACAGGTATCTTAACAGATGAAGCTGTAGTAGTATTGGCAAGCTGTGTCTTAAAAGTAAGATGGACTGGACTAGAAATATTCGCTTTAGAATTATTTGGCATTGCTGAAGACTGAACCATTGGCACAAAGCTTCCAGAAGATTTAGAAATTGGAAGTAATTTCAGAAGGTTTTTTCCATCTGGTCCCGTCGTCTGAACTACTCGGTACATACAGCCTGCAATGCTTAACAAAACAAAGAAAAGGGAAAAGAAAAAGAAAAACGAAAGATAGCGTAAGTGAACACAGAACAGATATTTTAAATAATGTGCATCAGTGAACTGTATACCCAGCGCTGCAATGCCTTAGAAGATTAACTACCAAAAAATGCCAGATCTGATCTTCAGCAACTCCACTGGCAAAAATCCCACTGAACTACGTAGTGTACATTTTGGGTTAGCATTTCCAAATACCACAGACTATCTGAAAATAATTTCCAACTTTTACATCACAGAGTAGCAAGAAATGTCATCCTTTTCAGATAAAAACAAGTTAAAAGTCCCAAGACAACACCTTACGTTATCCTCCTCTTCTACTTACAGGACCTTTCATTCTGTAAAAGAAAAACATTATCTCCAGATTTCACAGAGAAGCCGTATTTTTTGCTTTCTCATCTCCCTGTTTACTAATAATATCCCTACTTAGTGCTATGAAGTATGAATTTCAGGAAAGCTTCAGGAAAATACAGGCAGACTAGTTGCATGGCAAGATGGAAGCAGAAATTACTTCAGACACACATGTACAAACAAGAAATTAAAATGCATAATACATTTACTTGGTGGAATAGGATGTAGGGTGATCAACTCATACACCTACATCTCACCTGCCTACTCATTCCTTAGGCAGATACAGACTGCAAAGGTGGTCATCTTCAAAGAGATGAAAAACACAGAACTCAAATGCTACCAAGAGAACTCAAATGCTATGAGAACAGAAGTCTAAGTCTAGGAAGGAAAAGTCTTCAAGAATGAGAGGACTATGTGGGAACAGCACCAGTGAAATCTGAAGAGTAAATACAGATATTTTTGCAGGGGAAGACAGGAACTCAAAACAGCAGACAGACAGATAGAACCTTGTCAAACCAACAGTTAGTCGTGACTGCTTCAAATGCCAAGATTTTTCAAGTCCATTGTTCAAGTCAAGACAGAGAATCTTTGCTACTTCAAGTGAGTTTGCCCGAATGCAGGCATCTTCCCCAAAGAATTCCTGGGCTCTCAGGACAATCTAATGCCCACAGCACTGCAGAAGCCATGTGTCATGTTGAGACATATATGATCAAAACAGTTTCCCTCACTAGTAAAGAGGAGACCAAATGAACTAGGTTTCATGGTCTTGACATCAGATCCAGAATGATCAAAAGGCAAAGCTGCCAACTCCACTTTCAGCCACCAAGAGCATTCCAGCTCTGTCCCATTGACTTTCTACATCAATAAATGCATTGAGAACATGGACATGAGATTATTTCCCAGTCCCAATCCAGATGACATCAGTATTCTGTTCTGTTTACTGTCAAGTAGTTTTGAAACACTGGCAATTTTTCTGGCAGTGAAGCGTTACAGTTTTGGCTTCCAACTCAGCTTGGAACAGAGTGACTAGGAGATACCATTCATGCGTCCCACCGTTGTATCTGCTCAAGAAGTCAGTCAAGACATTGCCTTTTCCCACCAAGTGAGAAGTCACAAGGATGCTCTTCACTCCCAGACTTGGACAGTTTCTGCTACAGCCTGAGGGGTCACATTCCCCGTGGTGGTCGACATAAATAACCATGCTATTGTCTGTCTAAAACATAAAGGCTTTGGACATGCAGAGCTCTCCTTGCTGTAACCTCAGAATTAACTCCCACGTCCAATATTTTGGTACAATGCCTCATTTCTAGGCAATCTCTGTGAAAAAGCAGACATTTATGTGATTTATCAGTGTAGTGGGCAGGAAATTCCGCAATACTTCTGTTTTAAATATAACATACTGAAAATTAAAACATGGGCAATATACCACATGGTTCCTACTGGAAGCTGCCATCAGAGGTTTTAGTAGTAAAATGGAGTTTGATGTTTTGGAATCAGAAATGATGGTTGAGAAGGACTAGCACTGATCTTACAGAAGCATTTTTGCTTAAACAAAGAGCAACTAGAAAAAATTGTATGTTTGAACATAATTAAAGCAGAAAATACTTGCTTTTGGAGCCACTTTAAACCTCCTAGCATTACTGACAACACAGAATTAGGAAGACCAGCACTAAGCCCCTGGACAGCTTTTTGCATCTGTATCTATGCTTTGAAACTCCATCTTTCTTTAATAACACCATGATCCACAGTCTCAACTTTTCTTCTATATAGAATTAATATTCTGAAGGCAATTTTCAGCATGTTCCACAGACCTCTACAGATTTTACAAGGCAAACAGGCACTTACCGCCACTCGATCTAACCAGCACTGCAAATAGGCACCAAAGGGCAGAAGGAACCTCCAGAGAGGCACGCTCTTC